TTCTGCTGTGCAGACTTGATTTCATTGACAATTGATTGACTTGATTTGATTGACCTGCATATTGATAGCATCGCCGTGCTTTGATTTCATGTTGTAGGCTTGGTGACCATGCTGGGCTTTAAAGCTCATTATATGTGGTTAAATTTTCAGGTCGAGAAAGGCAACTGGAATGGAGTTCGATCAGAATGTCAGACGAATCCTTTCACTATTGATATCTGGGGCATCACACCAAGTCCCCAAACCGAGAACAACAGGCAACACAAGGCCCCAAACCGAGAACAGCAAGCAGCCCAAGGCCCTAAACCTAGAATAGCAAGCAGCCCAAGTTCCCAAACCCAGAATAGCAAGCAACCCAAGGCCCCAAACTGAGAACAGCAAGCAGCCCAAGGTCCCAAACCGAGAACAACAAGCAGCCCAAGGCCCCAAACCGAGGAAAGCAAGAAGCATAAGGACAAGAAGAAATTCAAGATGATTTGACCCCCCTTACCTACATCAAAAACTATGAGAGCCACAACCAGCACGAACCTTAAACTTAAACCTTTGGTTTGGAACCTACTTTTTACAAACATCATATTGGATTCTGAGTTTTTTCATTAATGTTTTTTGCTTACATCCAGGAAAAGTAGCTAAATCAATTAGAATAGTGATTCTTATTGAACTTGGTTGCGTGGTATTTTCTCCTTCTCAGATGACTTTCACTCTTTTTATTGATTTTCACTTTAAGAAAAAGGGTTTCATCTCCACTTCGTAGATCTTAAATCTGGATAAATACAGGCCAATTTCCTGGATGAAAGTCGAGACTGATAAAGCCATTGCATGCACATATGCTAAATGCATAAAGACAGAGTTCAATGGCATCGAGAAGAATTCTTTGTTAGCTTCTTTCCATGATGGATTTCTGCTTTATTACTGTCTTTTAGAAGAAAGATTGTGGTGTCAGGAATGCAAAATATCTAATAATTTAAAAAATTTAACCCTAACCTAAGAAGAAAGTGGAGAGGACACAAAAAGCATTTAGTAAGGGAAATTGGCCTGTATTTACTCAGATTTAAGATCTACAAAGTGGAGATGAAACCCTTTTTCTTAAAGTGAAAATCCATAAAAAGAGTGAAAGTCATCTGAGAAGGAGAAATACCACGCAACCAAGTTCAATAAGAATCACTATTCTAGTTGATTTAGCTATTTTTCCTGGATGTAAGCAAAAAACAGTAACGAAAAAACTCAGAATCCAATATGATGTTTTTAGAAAGCAGAAAAAAAGAAAACTAAATAAGGAGAACGATAGATTAGCGTATAATACTTGGAAGTTCCCATGGTTCGCACTTATAGACGTCAGCCTCGCCAACCATGGCAGGTTTTATCCTTTGGCGGCATATCTTCTGTTTTAGGTAAAAGAGCACGAGCTCCTCATCGGTGGGATGAAATCGAACACCCGGCGGCCATCGTTTTGACTCTCCTAACTGTCTACCGGCATCTTGATAGTCTTCATCGCCATCGCATGCGCTGCTAATCTGACGCCCCACTGGTGCACTGCAGTCCGCCGCCGCCCCAATCGATCCCATCAAAACCCTATCTCAACCACTCGTTGACTGCTGCAGAAATACAGAAGGCTGCTTCCAAACGGATTTCGAAATCTTCCGACAAGTGATACGATTCAGTAAAGAAGAAAAAATATGAAGAAGCAGAGAGGAGAGATGCTCACGGCGATGGCCGACGCCGACGAAGCCCAACCGCCCGTTGGTCGCAGCGCCCTC